CACACACACACACATATATATATATATATATATATAAATGCGTTCAGTGTACCTGATGGTCTATTCGGCGTAGCTACCGCTTTTGGCCGTGATCTTTGTCGCAGTTCTTCCGCGAGCTTTGATGACTCATACTTTCCCGCCCGATCTTCATCATTGCCCACACTCAGGAAGCAATCGACTACACTCGAGATACCTGTGTGAACATAGAGGTATACGAGGGGTAACTGATGATGATAAATGTTTCTGTGGGGATGCAGTCGAAGCGAGTAGTGCTGAAATATACACTAAAATCGACTCAAACTATCATCTCGAAGTTTAATAGTTTGTCGTACGGATACAGCGACGCTCGAGAATAGAACGTGAATGCTAATGAATAAAACACGAGAACGCTGTGCCTGTGCGTGTACGTGGAGATAATTGGACCTAATTCCCAAGATTTCATACTATAACATGGAGATAATTGGACCCAATTCACAAGATTTCATTATTTAACGTAGAGAAAATTGGACCCAAATCACAAGATTTCATAATATAACGTAGAGATAATTGGACCCTAATTACAAGATTTCATGACATGACGCACCAACCAAAAACCATTCTGATGCTCCAAATACTCGTACTACACATACACAAGAGGCGGGACAGTTCATCATGGGGTATGGCTCATGAGAGAACGCCAGAAATACACAGTGACGCGCACCAATGCAAACGAAATGATCATATGAACAAGGAGAACCTTACCAGTTCAACAGCAGCACATCCCCATATGATGAATCGAAAATGAAACTCTACACAGTATCGCTAAACCAACACCAGGCATAGGCAGATGTACGTTTGTGTATACAAATACATTGGGTGTACGAACACAACCCAAGACATGGATTCGTTAATATCTACATAACATTTCAAGCAAGCTTGCATACAAATAACAATAGCAGCCACATACCATGTACTAGTGTAAATACGATCCCGTAGCCCATAACACATGCTGTACCCAACTTACCTTCAATGGCCAGAAGGAATATCTGGGCGTTTTTGATATGGCTTGGATTACCTATGAGGTGCAGCATACGATGCCACGCCTGCACCACACAATCGTCGGGGATATTTATCTTCACATTTCCAATCTTCCGCGTTGCTTCTCCTGTTGGATTGGATACGGCAAACGAGTATCAGAATCAGAGGCAAGTGGACCATGTGTGTAAACATATACATATACATACACACACACATACACACATACACACACACACACACATATATATATATATATATATATATATATATATATATATATATATATATATATATATATATAACTAACAC